ACAACAGTATTATCGAATAGTACTCAATGAAGTCTTCTATGTTGGGTAGGCTTTGCTTCACATATTCGCGAAAGGACCTCCGCAGAACAAATTGAAAAAAACTGCAAATGCAATATCGAAGACACCGTACCCCCACTTCCAATATATCAGAAGATTCTCCGCGCCGAGCTGAATCGAATGGTGGCTTTGGATTCAGAATTCGTTCACTCTGAAGCGAGATATGGCCACGCGACGCTGATGTATGGACATGTACGGACATGTACGGACATGTCCGTACATGTATGGACATGTCCGTACATGTCCATACATGTCCAAACATTCGCGTCTATTTTTCAAAAATGTGAGCGGTATTGTAGTTTCGGTCAGCTCTTTAAGTAGGGACATTGATACGAAGCAGAAACGGACTCAAACGTGGGTTATTAAAATGATATGAATTTTTCCCAATTTTTCGAGCCTTCAGCACGACTTAGATTTCGGATGCAAAGTTACTGTGGGTCGAAATTGGTGCGAACTTTTGCATACTATCTTGTAAGGATTGCTTTGCTCTATCGAACGGTATCTCTTTCGGTTGTACATGCGTTAGGTTCGAGAAATAGCAGATCTAGTTTGAAAATGTCTCAAAACTTTCGAATCAAACTAATAGCACGAAAATAGTCTCACTTAGAAAAGTTGATTTTTGGCACGAAATCCTGGCCTGGAAGTATTTAAAAAAATCATGCGTTGAATTTTTGCACAATATTCCAACTGATTCAACAAATTAATTCAAGAAATTGAATACTCTAATTAGCTCAAAAATTTGGAAACAGATTTTTAGCACAAAAACTCCTTGCATTAAAAGGACCCAACGATTTGAAGACTATTATCTAGCACATAAGACAAAGGTAATCTCTAGCATAAAGATGATTAGTAATCACAAAGGTAATTTCTAGCATAAGATGATTCAAAAGTTCTGAAATTTTCAGAAAGTTGCAGACTCGGAATAACTTAAAAGAGTCCTGATATCGAAGAACAAAACAATCCAAAACAGCAATTTCTAGCACGAGAATAAATCAAAAAGTTTCAAATGTTATTTTCTCACAAGAATTTCTTAGAAGATTTCTTTAAAGACTTTTGGAGCAAAATTCTAGCACGGAAATAACTCAACATTCGAAAGATATCAAAATTATGCTTACAAGGGAAGTCACTTAACTTAGGTCGGGCTTTTGAAATGAGACACATATGGTTGGAATCAGCTTAAAACGCTGATTTCAAACCTGCTTTCCTTAGCTGCGAAGCGTTCTTCTGAAGCGAGTTATGAGCTTTTTCCCGAGCAAATTTTGCGTGTTGACCGACTTAGGCATGCTACGGTATCATCATCTAGGTAGTGGTCCAAATGCATATTACACCCTATCAAAGCCAAATGACTCAATTTGATGTTATTTTGATTTTCCACCACTCTTTGGGCAGAATTTCATCCAAAGACCTTCTTTCCATATTCAGTTGTATGTCAATGACACATATTAAAAAAGCTCATAATTCGCTTCATAGAAACGCTTCGCAGCTAAGGATAGCATATTTAGAATCAGCGTTTCGAGCTGATTCTAAATATATGTGTCTCATTTCAAAAGCCCGACCTAAGTTAAGTGACTTCCCTTGTTAGTTCGAATATCCTATAAATCTTGCACTAGACGAAACAAAGGGCCTAAAAAACAGCATCCAGGACTTCGATTTGATACTCAGACTAAAATGTATGCAGCATTTGTACGAGAACACCTCTTTCCAACTATTCTAACTGAAATACAAAGACAAAAATGTCTTATTACATCAAAAAAAATTTGTAACACACAATCATAATTCTATTGCATCCATAATCATATACGAACATACGTAACCATAATTTCCAACAACATTTACGTTCAACCCCTCATATTAAAATTAAAATACTGGATACATACAGCATACAAATACACAAAACGTATGCCATTTATATACGTTAGAATTAAATATGCTTACACCATACACCATGCACTATAAAAGGCACCATACACTATACGGCATACATCATACCATACATCATAAATCATACACCATACACCATGTACATACCTTATACAGTACACAATGCACCATACACCATACAACATCCACCATGACCAGAATGGACCATAAATCACGCATACACCATGCAACATACACCCTGATTTTAACAGCTGAACTGTTGTTTTGGCTTAATTTACTATTCTTCTAGTCACTTAGCTTCTTGAACTTGCATTCTACATTATGCGCAGAAAGTAACTGTAAGCTAATTTCTGGAATCTGAAATTCATCTGTATGGGCTAGTGTTTTCGGAGCGTTGCATATAATCTGCAGTAATTTAGTAAGTCTTTACATGCATAAAACTGTGTCTACTTCCCCTTTCAACATCTAGCTCTACATGATCACCTAAATTGTCATTCTGTAGCCATAATTAACAACACGTCATAGCACCAGCAAAACTCAAATTTCTTGGAGAGTTTGTGCTATGTATTCGATCAGAATCTTAACAATTATAGTTGCTGAAAAACTCGGTTCTAACGTGGAGACTGTTTGTTTCCTTGTAGTAGAGATGCATAAATATTGTTTGGTGGAAAGACGACATATTTTGGTCGTGGTAAGATGCTGAAGCCGAAAAGGAAAATTGCCACTTATAGGCTCGTAAGTTACACATCTGCTCCCTACGCCTCGTCTACGTTAATGGGATCCCTGCAAATCGCACTTGACAAGAGTTAACATGTCTGCGAAAGAAGTCTTTAGTTTCTTTTAAGGAATCGTGTGGTGGATAATAAGTGCAAATCTGAGATTGCGCTGATTTCGAACATATATAGATTACTTAATTCGACGACTACAACTCTGAGGTCCCTTGCTAGATGTGCAGTGTGATATAAATCAGCATTCTCTCTTCATTACCCCCTAAGATTACGTTAGGAAACCTTATGGAAAGTTTTCATTCTCGTCGACGGGCCTCTGTGCCCCAGAAAACAAACTAAATTTACGGAAATCTCTTACTCTCAAGCTAGTCAGTCGTTCATTTTGAATACAAATTCTCTTTCTCTACCTTAATGCTTTATTCATAAGTTGTGCTTAGTCAAACGCTGAGTTTTTCTTGAAAAGATTACACAATTAAAAGTTTTTATAATTTCGTAAAAAGATTACATGTATTTCTTGGAGAACAGCCGAATCGCAATTCTCATTTAAACAACTAATCCTGGAGCAAGCCTACTTTCGAGTGTTGACACCATACCCAAATTAGTCTCAAAAAGCGCTTAAATGCAGCGTCCGATCAAATTTTCAAATTTCTTTTTTTCGTAGTCGCGTCTTCTTGCTTTGATTCCAAATCTAAGTTCTAAATCAGGTAAAAACTTCGAGTACCCCTATGAAACCATTTTTTGATAAGCGCGGTCGAGTAATCGACGCTAACTTATTGCGTGCAACATGAAAAGTTGTATCGCAGACAGATAAACAGAGGGGCGGGCGTCAGGTACCCAGCCGAGTAACGAAGACTTCGCACTTCTTAATTAGCTGTATACTCTAGTCCACGCCCCTTACTCGGCCTGGCTACGGGTATTCAACTACTCCTAGATGCTGGAACAGCTCACTTTATTTGATATTTATTTGATATTTGGCTTCAAATAAAACAATAGTAAAGGACTAATATGAGAACTCCAGGCAGTGATCTGATTTTTTGAGGCCACTTTATGACAGAAAATTGTTATTATGGCTTCTAACAACTGTTAATGAATCTACTAATGAAACAAACCTATGGGTTTGAAAAGTAACAAGAGATTATGGAGTTGTTTCATACTGCAGTCGCCGCAGCAACTGCAGCCATATGGGGGCGGGCAAAAGATATCGGTCGATCACGGTCAGCGCTGCAGCGACTGCGGTATGAAACAACCCATGGGGTTGCCTGCTTTTATCATAAGAAAGTTTTTGCTGTTCTGCTCACTTTAGAATTTGCAGCTCGCATGCGCTAGGCTCAAATAATATGTATGATCTGTTCTAGCAGATAAGAGAATAGATGTGTTGTTACATAGCCGCAGCTAAATCGAGTAAGGGCGTGGCCTAGACCGAGTGGACTTGACATAATCTACATAAGTTGAGGTGGATTTTATGAATGAACCGTATCAGCATCTGGATAAGCTGATTTTGCCCGGACGCTGCTTTCAAGAGGCAATCTTTAAACGTTGTTAACACACGACTGCTTGACACACATGGTGTGTCAAGCAGTGACTACCGCATGGGACCGCTTGACACACCATGTGTATCAAGGCTTGAATTCTGGTAAAATGATTACTATCCTGAAATAAACTCACTCCATGAGCTTTCTTTTGCATGAATCTTGGAATGACTTCTACCTTTCTTGTCAGCCTTGCAGATCTACTGTAGGTGTACTGTAGATGGCAGTATGCGTAATTATAGTTGAGTGGGCTGGTCCATAAAAGGCCTTGGTCCCAAAAGGCAGACAACTAAAAATCTGCATTGTGTGTGTTAACAAGCAAATTTTAGATGTTTCAGAGAGCCATTGATATTTCAACAGAAGAACAGTTTGGACCTGGCCCTTTCGATTTTGTAATGGTGATGAAGCTACGGCGAATTTGAATCTACAGAAGTCATTTGTAGCACAGTAAACCATCAGTGTCGTGTCAAAAAAATGTATTCCTTTTAAGATAGCTTGTTAGACAATATATGAATTGAACGCTAACTTGAATAAATTGAATAAATTTTAGATTCCACTGATAGAAATTGCAAAATTTCTGTAAACCTGATGTCTAAATGACCTATCGAATTTCTAAGACTAACGTAAAAGTGAAACTAGCGGTTTAGCCAAGCTATAATGCTTCCTAATAATTTTCTATCCTACAGTCTCTGTCACGAGTCAGAAATTGAGGTAATAACGTAAATCTCTCCTTACCGGAGAGAAACCGTGCGGCTTGTGTCTCATAACAGCTCTATCATCCTGCACGAACCCTTTTACATAGAATTTGAGCGAATAGTTTATTATATGTTACGTACAAGTAAATACAGAAATTGCGACGCAGAAGCTGCTGGTCAGTTTTATCATAAAGACTGGCGACTTCAGTTACCACCAGCCTCCCCTTCCATAACCACCGTAGTAGCCACCATAGGGGTAACCACCGTAGCCACCATAACCTCCGTAGCCTCCATATCGTCTACGCCATCTTCCTCCATATCCGCCGTAACTTCCCCAAAATTGCCTCTTCTCCCGAATGATGGGTGCGCTAGAAAGACTATTTAAAAAAAAACAAATGCTTATATAATTAAATTAACTGGTGTAATTAAACTAACTCGGCTGGAATATCGTCAGGGCTGAATTCCAACACCTCCTCAGCGAAACATACGATAAGAAACGCGAATAGCAGACAGAATGCAATTGAGCGCATCCTGGAAATCAAATATGATATCTATGATAGGAACAACTCCAAATACAGCATATATTTGCACGAAATGGGCCTCTCTCTTTCACTCCCTCCTCCGCTCCTCCAGTTCATTGGAAACACGAACTGTAGGGCATAAGTGAAGAATAAATGCTTAGGAAGGCAAATGAAATAGACTCAGTTGGCAGTGATTTCTTTACCAATTGAGCTTCAGTAGGACTATCAGATATAGCAAAGAAATAACTTCCGAAGGACACGCGGCTGACTGACTGCATCCGTCATTGCTTTTATACCATCATCAAGGTGGGCAAGTGATACTTCACGGCCCATTTTTTGCATCTATCTCGATAGAATTTCCGTTTTCGTCCAAGAGAACTTGAATTAAACGCTGCTGTTCGTCCAATATAGATGTAGATTTGATGCGATGTGTGACTATCAAAGAAAAAATTTTCACATTGAATGGGCTATTCGGCAAATTAATGCTTACTACCATCAATCACCTGTTTGGTTGTCTAGAAAAAAAACCAAAACGATGACCTGAATCATCTAACAGTAATAATTGACATTCGTCAACCTGTAACGTATGTGCGTTCTTTGATTCCTTTCCCACGTGCATTTGAAAAAGGAGAAAGGCAGTCACGGGTTTGCTTAAAACAATTCCTGTTTTGTGATTGCCTGTATCTCATTGGCAAAAGACGATGAAGTGATTTCATCAGATTTTTAAGGCATAAAAGGACCTAAAACATGGCAAAGCTTACAAATTAATCTTTCCTGTTCAATAAATTATTAGTCACATATATACCGATTTGTGGTCGTTTCGAAATCAGAAAGTGTGCAATGCTTAGCTGTCCAATAAGCACTGAAAAAAGGCAAGTTCGCTGAGAGAGAATAATTGACGCAGTTGCTGATATAAAAGTTCCCATCTTGAACTTGATCCAAGATTAAACGGGGAGAGGAAGCATTGATATCCGCTTAAACATACACTTGTTTTATGATGGTTTCAAATGCTGATGCAGCTTTTTTCGATAATGGGTTTTGCAAATATGTTGTATCTGCCAAATTATTTACGTTGTATTTAGAATTCGGTATATGGGGAAGCCTTATGCTATGAACGATCATACGTATTGAAAAACAAACATAAGAGCTTCTCCTTTCAAAAAAACAGGAGATTGCGAGGAGGAAATTAGTAACAAAGTAGATAAAATCAACGACACTATAATGAGTAACTCAGACAATTGCATCGGAAAGTTCGCGGCCTCAAAGCGCGTTACATGGCGCGCCGCGGCCCTTAAAATTTCAGCCGCACACGCCGCGGCCCATGCATATTTTACCGGGAACGCCGCGGCCCATGCATATTTTACCGGGAACGCCGCGGCCAAAGTTGAAATCGGGAAGAGATTACCGGGAAGGTCGCGGCCCAACCACCTCACTCGGCGGGCCGCGGGCCCTATCAAAGGCCGCACTTCTTACACGCTGTAGTTTAAGGCGCAACCCTCGTGAGGTACGTCGCAGCGATGGGGCTACCCTAAGTCTTTATGAGGCTGGGTATCGCTCCTCGGATTTGGTCCTATCTGACAGAGTTGATTTCTTATGCTGATGAAATGAACTTCAGCAGTCGGATGAGCAATATCGACGACCTTAGATGATGTCGACAGATGAGCTAACAAGTTGCTCAATTTTTGCTCAAGTCGTTGTCATGAGAGACACGCCAAAAGATTTTTCACTCCTCCTAGGCCTCACAAGCATGCTAATCGGGTCAACTATCGGGCGCTTACAGGGCGCACCGCGGTCACTTATCGGGTCCAATTTCGTTTATACCGGGCAGCTCGCGGCATGGATGATTGGTGGTCGAGCAAGCACCCGCGAACTTCCCGATGCGATTGTCTGAGTAAAGTACTATTCAAACGACTTCCAGTTTTTTTTTTCATTCAGAGGCTGCATATAAGAAATTCCATATTTGCAAAGGGAAGGCTTTGTTCAAAATAGCTGAGCGTGAGGTTTCAAATGTTTTGAGCAAGAATTTGTGTATGCATTATTACTGTAAAAACTGAAATGTTTATGCGTTTCTGAGTTGAGACCAATAATTTCGGAATACTTTACGAGAATAGTCACGCAAGATACTAACTTTCCATCGTCATCGCTATGTGAGGAAAGCAAATAATTGGGCTTTTGATTCTACAAGGAAGTTTCAGGGTTTGCTCAAAGGCAGCTCCCCGTCAAGCTGAGGAGTCCCAGCTTTTGCAGTGGTTTTATAGTAGACCTCGCGATGGCTAAATTTCAGAGGGAAACAAGAGGTTCTAAAGCCTGAAATTTGCCTCGGAAGAGGCTCGGGCATTATGGTAAGCCGGACGCTCATATACAGCGATTTCAAGCTGCAAGACCATGCGTAAGGCTGCGTTCATACTGGTCCCGAAGTCCGGAAACAGTTCCAGCACAACGCTCAGATCGAGCACTGTGCTCTAACATCCCGGACTTCGGGATCAGTGGGAACGCAGCCTAAGTGCACACAGCCATGACCGTAGGGTCCCACAGCGACTCTGCTTTTTCAACTTGGCGAGCTTCGCATCCCGTGCTGATTCAACCCGGAGCTTTGGGAAAAGTCCGTGTTTACAGCTCTGCAAGCTGCACAGTCGGGTTCAGCGGGACAAGCTTAAGTGTGCAAAAACATTCTGAATTCAGAGTTTGCTTGGACGCTGCCTTCAAGGGTATGAAATTTTGATTGAACACTTTACCTTTTTTGAATGACCAAGAAATGCCAAGTTCATTGTTTATGAAAACTTTCAGGTTTCCTGCTGAAGCTCGTCTAAACAGCTTGTCAGACTTTGATGTATTTAAATGTAATCCTACCACCCCTCCTGTTTTTACTTTGTACAGCTAATCTACCTTCGTAAACCAACCCAGAAATCCGAGTGAAGATTTTCGCAGATGATCTCAAAATCTACTCCTGTTATGGAAGGGAAAAGAAAGCGAAAGCCTACAGCGCCCTTTCTTCTGTTGGAAAGAGTGATTTTGTGGTCAAAGTTGTGAGATCTGCCCTTGAATCTTTCGAAATGCTCCGTTATGCGCTTAGGCGATTCCAATACTTACCTCAGGTCATCATGTAGCGATATGGAGCTTGAGTATCGGAGCGTTGTGAAGGAGCTGAGCGTATTTGTTAACGATGCTCTCAAATTTGCTGCGCACTATGATTCAGTCGTCACCAAGTCGTTGGGAACGCTGTTTATGCTTCTACGTAACATTTACAGTTGAACCTGGGATTTTATGCAAAACATATATCCTCCCTCATTTGGATTCTGCTTCATCTGTTTGGAGTTCTTACTTGAAAAAGCATATTGTGAACTTGAAAAAATTCAGAAGATTTCTACAGGGTTTTTGTACCGATTCCCCAGTCCTGAATACTCTCGTACATTACCGTCCTACACTGCTTGACTTGCAGTTTCAAAACTGTACAGCCTGAACTATAGACTTGTTGTTAACGATTTTGTGCTTTGCTTTTGTATCTTAAGATTAGAAACAAAATTACAAGCCGGTAAATACTGGGTCCTTAGGCCAAGCGGAGAGCGCACAGGTGAGTTTAACACTAAAAAACTAAAAGGTGATGGACAAGGAAATGCAATTTTGAGTATTACAAATTGAAAAATAAAAACAAAAACAAAGCTCCGTTTCGTTCCTACCCTTAGACGGAGATAAAGAATGTTTTATAGCCCTCCCCGGAACTCCTCAGTAAGGAGGGAGGGCTGTCTGTATAATTTAAATAATAAATTAAAATAACTTACCTGTGTAGAGTCCTTGTATCCTTGTCCTTGGGAGTAGCGCATATGTTTGAATAGGAAGAGGGCTGTATAATTAAATGCAGCCGTTGTCAATCAATTAGCAAATATAATACTCAGTTAAAAAAGACTGAGCGGTAAATTTGAAATTATATTTGCAATAGAGCATGAGTTTAATCATATTGTCTGGTAACCAAATAGCATTAACTTAGAGGAGTATTTGTGTGTGTGTGTGTGTATGTGTGTGTGCGTGTGCGTGTGTGTGTGTGTGTGTGTGTGTGTGTGTGTGTGTGTGTGTGTGTGTGTGTGTGTGTGTGTGTGTGTGTGTGTGTGTGTGTGTGTGTGTGTGTGTGTGTGTGTGTGTGTGTGTGTGTGTGTGTGTGTGTGTGTGTGTGTGTGTGTGTGTGTGTGTGTGTGTGTGTGTGTGTGTGTGTGTGTGTGTGTGTGTGTGTGTGTGTGTGTGAAATGGAATATTCATTTCAAGAGTGATTTAACTTTGTCGAATACATTTTTATCGTTAGCTATCAAATTGTACTTATGAAAAACAAATCTGTTTTTGCTTAACATTTTAAAAATGCATGAAACTATGAATGATTTATCATACCCATTATCTAAAAGTGTGTGATAGAGACTTTGAACTCTATTAGAAAAATCTTCAAAGTTAGAACATGTTCTAGCAATTCGTAAGCTTTCTGTGTAAACTACTGCCTGTTTAATCCTTATAGAAATGCAGGAATTAACATTTATGAATCTCTTAACTGAAAAATCAAAGTCATCGGTTTTATTATACATTTTAGTGGTAATGTGATTGTTACTAATACTTATATGGAGATCTAGGTAATTACAATGGTAATCGTCAATGTGTGTAGATTCAAGTAAGAGTTGATTATCATAAACTTCTTCTAAAATGTCTTTTAGATTAATATCTGAGTTATAGATAACCAATATGTCATCCATATATCTGAATGGATATATGTTAATATTTGTGGTGATGTTTTTAGAAAACTTATATTCATACCAAGATAAAGTGAGATCTGCCAAAAGTGGGCTACAGCTTCCGCCTTGAGGAACTCCTCTTTTCTGTTTAAAGATGGTGTCACAAAATTGACAGAAGCTGTTATCAAGTAAGTAATCAATAAAATAAAGTAAATCAGATATTTTATAGTATCTAGTACGATTGTTATTACTAATATTTTTGTCACTGTAGTATACTTTATTATAACCATTGTATGCAATGTATGATTTATTAGCGTTATTATAGCATAGTTTCAATATCTCTTTAATATTATTCTTAATTATGTTATGAGGCAAATTGGTAAACATGTTGGTAAAGTCAGCAGAGAA